GGTATTCTAATGTTATGCAGCCCTAATGAAGCTCATCACTTCAGGCCTGAGAGTGCACAGAATCTACTGTAAGTGATTGGGAACTAAGGAAGAAGTTTAGGACTCAAGACTAACAGAACCCGGTGAATGACCTGGTGCAGTAGCTCATGCCTGGATTCCCAGCACGTTGGGAGGCTGAGGCAGAAGCATCCCTTGAACCCAGGCATTTGAGACCAGCATGAACAACATGATAAGACCCTGTCTCTACAATAAATAAATAAATGTTAACAGTAAAAAGAAAGTGATCAAGAAAGATCACAAGAGGTTTTTGGAATTGGGATGATAATCAAATAATAGCCAAATAGTTGGTGCTTTCAAAGTTGTAAATCGTTTTAACATTGAGATCTCTATAAACATTCCGTTCTTTGAAGACAAATGCTCGGGCACAAGAGATGTGCTTGTTGGTGTCAGAAAGACAGGTTAATTTAGAGATGAACTTGACATTGGGGGCTTTCAATTACCTGCTCTTGGTAACATGATAAGTATTCTGTGACCTCTCTCCCTAAATCACAGAAGCCCAACTCAATTTCTTCTATCCCATTGATGAACCAAGTATCTGTCTTTTGTTTGTTTGTTTCCATTTGCTGCCCAGGCCCTCTCACCCAGATTTCCTTTCTACCCAGTCCTCTGTGCAGCAAGGGTGACCTGGATGGAGACAGGGAGTCATATGCTCAGGTTTGCCTGGGATAATTTTGGTTTAACAGGACTCTTGATCAGTTTAACATGTATCATGAAAAGTTCATTTTGATGACATAAAATGATTAATACTTACATTAAAATTATTCAGGGTGAGTTTGCATTTCCAGCTACTATAGTCTTGTTCGGTATTGTGTGAGATGCATACACTGAGAACAAACTTCTCGCTTTAATATGGGGTTAAATATAAAAGACTACTCAGTGATAAACAGCCTCTCCTTCCCTGACCCCTTTCAGATGTAATCTAACCAACACCTCCCTTTCAAGAACAGCACGCAAGTTGCCCACTGCTTAACAAAGTGCACTCAGACGCAAGTGGCTAGAGACAGCTAACCCTTTCTGATTTCTGCTGCCGATGGAAGTGTCCAACGATGCCTGCCTACCAGCCACTTGGTCTACCAGCCAGTTGTGGTCTGGTGCCTGCTGCAGCCTGCAGGATCCACTGAGTCTGATGAGGTAGAAGGCAATGTGGGCTAGGTGTATATGAGATATATAGGACAAATAGAGGTGCAGCAATTTTGTTATCACATATACAGAGTTATAGGTATATTCTAATATATACAGAGGTATATACAGTGTGTATAGTATATAAACTCTGTATGCAGAGTATAGTACATACAGAGGCATATACTATACTATATACAGTATATGTACCTATACTACAGGTATAGTATATACAGAGTTCTTGCTATTGTGGTTTTGTCATTTATTGTATTGTGTAAAGCTACAGTTACATTGTTAAATAATTGTTGAGCAGCATGTCTCATTTTTTTGCAATAATGGTAATTAATTTTTTATTTTTGAGACGGAGTATCGTTCTGACGCCCAGGCTGGAGTGCAGTGGTGCAGTCTCAGCTCACCACAGCTTCCATCTCCTGGGTTCAAGTGATTCTTCTGCCTCAGCCTCCTGAGCAGCTGGGACTACAGGCATGTGCCACCATGTCTGGCTAATTTTTGTATTTTTAGTAGAGACAGGGTTTCATATTGATCATATTGGCCAGGCTGGTCTTGACCTCCTGACCCCGTGATCCACCTGCCTTGGCCTCCCAAAGTGCTGGGATTATGGGCATGAGCCACCACGCCTGGCCAATGGTAATTAATTTTAAGAACCCTCTTAACTCTCAAAAGTGTCCCAGTATGGATGATAATTTATATGAGAACACTTTATATAGATTCCATCAACAGGGTCCTTACTACTCTTGGCTTCCAGGTAGGTTGGGCCCATGGTGAGTTGTAGAAGGAGACAAGGGGAGGAGAGTGAGGTTGGATTATCTACTTCCTGGATCCCATCTGACGTGATTGCCTGGAACTGGTTGTGACTTTCACCTAAAGTTACTGGTTTTCTTAGGGCAACTGACTTCACAGACTTTTTCCCCTCTGGGTTTTGTTACTTCCTTCTCTGGTCTTTCCAGCCTTGGGGTGATCGGCTCAGCTGCTACGAATCTCCTGGTGACTGTAGTATCCCTTGTGTTTCTCCTACCACACAACTTTGCAAATAGTCCCTGTGTAACTAATCCCATCTCAAATAATCTTATTTTAAGTGTTTCTTGTATTTTCTATTGATTCCTAATTGAATATATTCCTTTTTTTTCTTCTATGAATGAGCATTGAAATTCTCTTTCTCTCTCCACTCTCTTCTTATGTGGAGAGTTATGTGAGGGCAAGATTGTAATAAGTGAAAAAAGTCTTACAAATCATTTATTTACCATTATAGTCTACCTTAGTTTCAGAAAACTATATTTCAAAATGGGTCAATGAATTCTGAGCTTTCTGTGAGATGTAGTTTGTAGCACTGACATATTTTCAATTTAGATTAATGCTGAAAAGATTCAAATCATTAAGCATAAGGAAAGTTAAGTAATAACATTAGCAATAAGATATATTTTTGTTTATAAATATAGAAGGGAGGATAGGTAATTAGCAAGTATGAAAACATTAGTGTCCACACTGAATTGCTTCAATACTAGTTTTCTCTAGAAAACCCACTAAATGATTTGAACATTCAACAGAAAAGCATAGATTTTATAGACATAGCATGGCTAACTGAAATTTACATATTACTTTAGAAGTTAGATAAGATTGCTTTGCTAACTAAACATTTTATAAAACATTTTCAGTAAATATTTATTGAAGGCTGGGTAGAATATAGGAGATGAAGAGACAAGGAAATAAATTTGAATTCTAGGAGATAAGATAGAGATGAAATGGCTATGATTTTTGACCAATATCACTGAGGCATAAAGATCGCGTCTGTATTGGGCTGTGTCTGGTGTGTGGTGAGGGAAATGGAGGGTAGGGAGAGCCTGAATTAAAGGCACTTGGAGATGACCAATAGGGAGAAAGTATAGAAAAAAAGGGAGCAGTTCAAATTAGGATCTTAAGGGAATTGCACTTATAAGGGAAGACAGAAGTAGAGGAGAAGGAAAGTCAGATAAATAAGTTGTGGTCAAGAATCCAGTTACAGTCCTCAAAGTGGCCAGCATTTTGTGAACAACTGGGAAAAGCGATGGCAAGTTGCTTCTGTGACATGGAGGAATAGGTAACACTTACTTAGAAGTCACCCTAACTCTGAGCTTACTCTATGCCAGGCAGTTTTCTAAGTACTTGGCACTTACTAACTTATTAATAATCTTTTAAAATGAAATTATGTTTATTTATTTTTAAAGATAGGATATTTCTGTGTCACCCAGGTTAGAGTGCAGTAGAGTGATCATAGCTCACTATAACCCTGACCTCCTGAACTCAAGTGATCCTCTTACCTCAGCCTCATGAGTAGCTAGAACTACATGCATACACCACTACACTCGGCTAATTACAAAACAAAGAAAAAGAAAAAAATACTTTTTTTTTTTTTTTGGCAGGGAAGGGGTCTTGCTATGTTTGCTGGTCTCAAACTGCTGGCCTCACGTGATCCTTCTGCTTTGTCCTCCCAAAGTTCTGGGATTACTGGCATGAGCCATTGTGCTTGGCCAACTAATATAATCTTAACTACCAAAGGGATAATGTTACTATATCATTCCATATATGAGGAAATCAAGTTGAATAGAGATGAGGTCACATAATTGGCCAACTTCTCACCATTAGTAAGTGTCCATGTCAAGATTTGAATCTACGGTTTTAACTTACTTAAGTTCACGTTCTCCCTTTCTGTTCTACACAGCCTCTTTTACACTCACATTTTCACTTCTCTGCACATATCCTTTACCATAGATAGCAATAGAAAAAAAGGAAGTTAGAAACTAAAGATATTGGTATAGTTTTTAATTACTAGTAGCAAACAAACAAAACACCTAATTGGAACATGGGCTTAAAGAAGTGATTGAACACCGATCATCCTTGAGGTGCCTAATGATTAATCTTAAGGGAGCAGGAAACAGTAACACAAAGGTAAGGCATGGACACATTTTCCCTTTCTACATATCAGCCCTTGGCCGGCTGAACCTTCCCTCTCTTCTTTCTGAATACATTTGCTAGCTAAGAGTGCACTTAACAGAGTCAAAGGAGAAATCATACTTTTTATGACCACACTAGAAAGTGTTTATACACTTTCATGAGACAGATTGACCGCTCTGTGGTTTAGCCTCACGTAATCTCTCCCCTGCAAAGAAACACAACTGAGTGAGGTTAAATCCAAAGTTGGGTGCTGACAAGGAGCACTTAAAATAGAGCTGGCTTTTGCAGACCTGGAATTCTTCATCAATCAGCAGTGATGCCAAGGGGTCTATTTATACCTATAATGGGGATACCTTTCATCAGGCTCAAACATAATTGGTTTAGTAGCTGTGTAGTTTATAAAACTGTTTCTGATTAGGAGGAGCACATCAACAAAATAAAAAACACTCAAATAATGAAAGTAACATATTGTAAGCTTGTAAAAGACACCTGTTTTTAAAGAGAAATTTTGCGTTATAATTAAGATCCCATTTCCTGACCCTCCTTCCCTGCCCCGCCCTCCAGTGGCTCTCCTTAGGGGTGGGGTGAGTGAGGTCTTCTCTGTTAGTTCCTGTGAGAACTGGTTGTTAAAAAGAACCTAGGCTTGTCATGGTGGTTCATGCCTGTAATCCCAGTAGTTCCGGAGTCCAAGGTGGGAGGACTGCTTGAGGCCAAGAACTCTAGAACAGCCTGAGTAACATAGAGACACCATTTTTACAAATAAATGAATTGGTTTTTTAAAAAGAGCCTGGAATCTTTCTCTCCTGCCATCTTTTACTTCCTCTCTAGCCATGTGATCTCTGCACACACTGGCTCCCCTTCCCTTCTTCCAGGAGTGGAAGAGCATGTGGCCTTCACCAGATGCAGATGCCAGCACCATGCTTCTTGTACAGCCTGCAGAACCATGAGCAAGTAAACGATTTTCTGTATAAATCACCCACCCTCAGATATTCTTTATAGCAATACAAATGGACTAAGCAGATCCCAATTACTTAAAATATAAAATCTAGTACTAGAAAAGAACATTTAAAAAATAATTCAGGTTTATTAAACTATGTGCTAAACAGAGAAGTAGTTTATTTAAAAAACTGGAGAGTATTAAGTGATTATTCAAAAATGAGATACCTAAACAGAGCATTTTAGTAACAAAGAGAATGTCCCCAATGTAATGAGGCTTTGTCATTTTTCAAATTAGCAGTATTTTTTTTTTGCAGGAAGTCATCATCATACAAGCCTTAAATCAGGAGGGTAATTCATTTAGTTCTGAGGAAAACTGGTTTTCTCAGTTTTCCATCATTTTGTAAAATGAAAACCAAATATACTTTTAAAATTGGCTGTTATTTGCAGGCTGTCTTGATAATAATTCACACAAAATTCATATAGACCAGATGAGAGAGCTGACCTATTTTTTATGTGTCTTTTATTGGAATTCAGTAAATGTGCTACATTCTATGTTATCTATTTTTAATTCCTGCAAATCTTTTCTTTAGTATCTGGGTCAAAATTCTATTAACAAATTCTGCTTTTCCATAGATTCTCTATTTGGATAACCCTGAGTGCTAGAAAATTAAAGATTTATTGAAGCAGACCTGCAAAATATTTCTATTCAAAAGCATTAGGGTTTTACATGAACTTTTCTTTTGAGAACTGTAATAAATTTTCCTTCATAACAAGAAAAATTCACAATAGAAAATACCTCAAAATTGATTTTATAAAGTTTGTTCATTTTTAGATCAAAACATTTATAATATTATCCACTAGCTATTTTGATTGGTACCCACTGGTATTGAATACCTTTGATCATTATAGCTTTGAAAAAATAATATATCAGTTGCAAAAATAAACAAAAAATATAATCTAAATTGTTTTAGCTACGTGTTTGAAAGTTTCTAACTCTACTTAAAATACGAGCATTTTGGGGGCAAGTATGATAGTATTTATATTTGTTTGTACCACTTATAAACCATTTTTACTTTGTTAGACATAAACTATTACATTGAATTTCACTTATAACCTTGGATTCCATATATATCTAACATTCTAACATATAATTTAACTCAGTTGAGGATTTAAACTGGGTATCTAGAGACCTCAGATCTAGTCCTGTAACCTCAAGAAGGTTCAACACTTTAGATCACAGTGTTCTTAGTTATAAAGTTTTAGCTTATCTTTAAAGTTCCAAATTTTAAATAATTCTTCATCTGTGTTGAAATATTATATGTTTCTCTTGGAAAAATGTGTCAATAGAAAGCTCAGTTAAATTGGAGTCAGTTCTAAGAAGTAATATTTCTTTACTGCGTGGGGATGGCAATTCTCATAGAGCTTGCTATGATGAGTTTTAAATGTGTCCACAAATTCTTTAATGTTCCTCTTTTAAAAGGTGAAGCCTAGCCCCCTCTCTAATAGACTATGGCAGAAATAATGGTATGTGACTTCTGACACTATTCCAAAAGGCACTGCAGCTTCCCTCTTGCTGTCTTTTGGAAGGTTTGTACCAGAGAAAGCTAGCAGCCATGTCATGAGGATACTCAAGCAGCTCCTTGTGGTTCATGTGACAAGGAAGCAGGGCCTCCTGCCAACAGCCAGGTGAGTGAGCCATACCAGAGACAGAGCCTCCAAATCTAGTGAAGTCTGTGGAAAATTCCATAACATAGGCTCAGCTAGAACCACTCAACTAAGCTGTTCCTGAATTTCTGGCCCACAGCAATTGTGTGAGACTATAAATATTCATGACTGTTTCATGTTGCTAAATTATAGGGCAATTTGCTATGCAACAAAAAAATAAACAATGCATTTACCTATATATTTAGATGAGGGACTTATGACTATCTTTTACATACATCTGCAAAACTGTGACTCAACTGAAAAACGCATCTTATTCCCTAGGGAATTAGGTTTTCTTAAAGTTCCTTTAGAAGATGATTTTGTGTTCAAAGACACTAATTTGTTTCTAATATAAAAATTAAAAAATTTTCCTGCATTTTCTTTCATGGTAGATCAAATGGAAATAGGCAGAAAGTGGGCCTCTATTCTTTATTTTTATCTCTTCCATCATTATTTGCAGTTAAGTATTCTGCTTGGATTGATGGTCATCCTTTATTAATTTATATTTATTGATCATTCTTGTACATTTTAAGTGAAAATAGGAACTAGATACAGGATGATAAAAAAATTAACTTCTAAAATTAAGGAACTTAGATTTTATAATATTAACATGAGCATACATAGGCATATGGTATTTGTACCCTTTTTATTTATAGATAGAGATAAGGGAATGCAGCAAAATGAATACCTTATTGTTATTGAATATTTACATATATTATTTAATCCACAGCAATCCTATGAGACAGAAAGTAGGTATTTTGTTAATTGGTGATATGATTTCTTTTGAAAATAAATATTTTTCTGATTCTAAAATAAAAGTATTTTAAAGACTGATAATCTGTAAAGATTTTCCAGCAAAAAGTTAGTGTAAATCAATTCAGCAAACTGGTTTATGAGTTATGTGAGACAACTAGTGTCTTTAGTCCCAGTGTCTTTAATGCCCAGGCCTGAGCCTGCCAGGAGGTGCCACTGAGCATGGTGGGGACAGATCTGTTACTTAAGGATAGTAAATGCAGAGTCTGACAAATCAGACTGATTTTTTTTTTTTGAGTCTTGCATCAGAAAGAGATCTGGAGGTGTTTTTATTTTTTTTTTTGTTGCTGCAGATTTTTTTTTTCAAATATGGTAACAGAAGAATTTCAAGAAATACCACTAAAAAGCAAAGTCAAGGTTTTTAGTAGTTCATATTATTAAAGCATATGTAGTAGACATGCTAGTGCAATTCTTTAAAAATGACTTTAAAATTAAAAGTGCAATAAAATATACATATAAAAAAGAATAAATACTTAAAAATTGTTTAAATATGTATTTTCTCCTTTCATTATTGGAGCATTCAAGCAAAGATTGTGTAAAATGCAGGTTAAGTATAATGTAAAAAATACGTATCCCCCAAAAAATGACTTTAAAATAAGATCTAACTTTATCAGTATGATATAGTTTTATTTTACTATTTCTTCTCTGGGTTAACATGCATAAGCTCTTAGCTTCCAAATTACATATAAACGATGTACTTTTATTTTTGAGATATAAAATAAAAGTTACTTTATAAGATTAGAGTGTTATTGCATTTCAAGCAGTTTCAGACTTTACTAAACTTGAAAATTTTGGATTTAAACCAACCAAATGCAATTGTGTTTTTCTTAATGAATCTTGAAGGTGATTGTGTGTGTGTGTGTGTGTGTGTGTGTGTGTGTGTATTTTTAAGGTGACTATTAATGGACTTTTGACAACAGTTTGGTAAGACTGTGCAAAAAGCACTTACCATAAAAGAATCCAAATGATTATCTGGTTTGTGTTTTTAAACACTGAATGCTAAAATATGTTCCCAGTTTCTTAAAATTACACACTTCTTGAAATGAATCACATAGAAAATAGATATAACAAAGGTACTGGAGGTAAAGTTCATAACAGAAAAGTTTCTTTTCAGTATTCTGTAACTTGTGGCAATTAATTTATAAAACAACTAGGAGAAAGCAAAAGGAAGGAAAGAGAAATCTCAGAAGTTGGTCAGTGTAGGCTGTTTGCTGATATGGTTTATTCAGAGCTCTGGGAGGCCTGGAAAGGAAGTGGGAGTGAGATTAATGAGCTTTTGATTTTCAGAACAGAGGCAGCCCCTTAAGGAAACCGTTGGATTATTTCACGGATGGCAAGAAGGGATCGTATGATACACACAAGAAATTTTTTTCTTGCTTCCATATTCCTACTAAATTGCACAACACTAAAACCCTTCCCAAATACGTAAATATGTTCTGGGGTAATAATTCTGTAGACACACACAGAAAATCTCACTGGGCCTTATATGCTGCTGTAAAATACAAAAGGTGGTTGATGGGTGGGTGGTTTCTGAAGCCTGATCCTAAGGTAGAGACATAAACAAAGCATGCTATCCAAGAAAAACTCTCAGTCAACCATGGGTCTTTCATGTGAAGACCAACCTCTGAAAACATTTGGAAAATGCTATAAAGATTTCAGAACTTACAGAAAAAGAAAGTTTGGCATTATCATGGACGAAGTTTGGGACTGAATATTTTCTGGGAAAAGTGGGCATTAAGAGAAAAGATGTCTTCTTGCATCCCATGTTAAAACATGTGGTGCTTTATGTTTATTTTAAATTAATACAAGAAAATAGCTCTTTCAACCAATCATCCAATCATATAATAAAGACTTAGTATAGTCATACACTGTAATGATGTTTTGTATACATGATGTTGGTTCCATATGATTATAAATGGAGCATATATAGAAACCTGATATATAACACTTGATATTGGCATTGCATAATAGAGGAAATCACTGACATTCAGTAATGGTGCTGGGCTTTTTGTTTTTTCTTATAAAATATATATATAAATAAAAACATACAATCTAGGTTTGGGTAAGTACATTCTATGATGTCTGCACCAGGATGTGCATTGCTTAATGATGCAGTTCTCAGGAAGCATCCCCACTCCTAAGTGATGCATGACTATATTGCAAGGCGATATAATGAGGATATTAATGAGTCATTTTATGAGGCTGTTAAAAATTATGAAAAATGAGATCTAGGAGAGAGAAAAATAATCCACATGTAAATTTCACTAAATATTCAAGAGAGAAACAGAGAGAAACATTTGGCTATAAGATAATCTAGCTTTTTACTTACAGAAGCCTTGCATTTAGACCATAAATCTAGATGCATCGGCTGACTTCTACTTAAGAGTTGGGGACATGGTATAGTAGAACACCCAAAGGCTGACCAAAAAAAAAAAAAATACTTATGCAACTATTATGTAATTATAGTTTTTAAATTATAAATACATATCTTACCACTCATAACTCAAAAGCTGCCTCCTACTTTCCCTACTCCAACTGGAGTCAGCTTATTAAGTTGGACAAACAACATTGGCCCCCAATTATCTTTCTTCAGAAAGTTCACCAAAAAAGTTTGACAAATCAGTTATGCCTAAGTTGTAAAAGGTAAACCTGGGACTCCTAGGTATTCCCTTTCCACGTTAGCTAGACCAGTGGGTCTCAAAATTCAGCATGTGTTGGAATCATCTACTGGGCCTGCTTTCAAGGTTTTCTGACTCCTTAGGTCACTAGGTCAAGATGAGGCCGAAGAAGTTATATATTCTTCAAGTTCTCAGGCAGCACTGCTGCTGCTCTAGGAATCATATTTTGAGAAATGCTGAGCGAGGAGAACACAGTGGTGTAATTTAATGAACTGCTGTGGCATATGGCTGCACCTGAGGTGATTTTGTGAAACAGAGACCACTTGCAGTTTTAGATAGTATGGAGTAGGCATCAAAGAGTGATGCCCCAAATGGGATCTGACCAAGCAAAGACTATTTCTAGAGTTCAGATAGAAATTTCTGGATTTACAAATAATGTAATTACATTTTGCTAGTGTTTTGTGCTCCTACTTATTAAAGCATAAAACGTTTAATTTTTTATGTCTGGCATTTTTTTTTTTGTAGAAAGGGTCTCGTTATGTTGCCCTGGTTGGTCTTGAACTCCTGGACTCAAGCAATCCTCCTGCCTCAGCTTCTCATTGTTAGAATTATAGACTTGAGACACCATACCCAGCTGAAATCTATTTTCTGTTTCCTATATCCACTACATAGTATCCATCCACACACTTGACCTTTGCTCACTGCTAATATCCCTAGTGAACAAAGATGGACATTGTCTCTGGCCTTATGAAGGTCACAGCATAGTGGGAGGAGTCAATGTTAAACAAATAATTAAATGAATGGCAATTAATTAAACACTGTGGAGAGTGCTAGGAGGAAAAGTTCAGAGAAGGTAACTTCATTTAGCTTTTCTGAGGACGTAACATTTGATTTGACACCTAAACATGAATTAGGCAAAGTATAGGTGGAAGAGCACTCCTCAGATGCGGAATTCTGCAAAAGTTCTAGGTAGGAATCCAGGCTAGGATCTGAAAATGGAAAGGAGTATCTGGTGAGTGATGGAAAAGAAAGAAAAAGATGCTGCTGCTGAGGTGGTGACTAGGTCATACAAGCCCTTGTTGTTGATGCTAATAAGCACTGAGCATCTATACATGGGTTTTAAGTAGATAAATGATGTGATTGTGGTTTGAAAAGATCTCTGGCTGCTGTGAGGAGGATATATTGGGAAGAAGGGAACTAGAGCAGAGATGGCATAGACAGTTAAGTGGTAACAGCTCAATAAGGAATTGACTACTGATTAGGCTGGGTCATCAGTGATGAAGATGGGGAGAAGTGGTCATGCCTCAGTTATATTTTGGAGAGCGGTATCTTTTGGCACTGGGTTGATTACAGGAGTGTAGAAGACGTAGCAGTTGAAGAAGACTCTCAGATTCTTGCCCTATGAAGCTAAGAAGATAAAAGTACCCTCTATATAGGTAGAGAAGACTGCAGCTAACGTGGACTGGATGGTAACAGGAGCTGAATTTGTTTTTGGACAAGCTCAACTCAAGAAAGTTGTGAAACTTTTAAACCACTGGTTTTAGGAGTCTG